GCAGCTTCAATCACTGCTGATGGGGAATGGCAGGGACTGGAAGCAGAATGCTCAGTGTTTGTCACCAGTCCTGTCCCTGTCTGCCATCCCAGCATCCTTCTCCTTCAAAAACCTTCCTGTACCAAGCAATTAAAAAGGCATACGAGGCTATTCTTGCCTTACTGAGGTTTCCCATTTTTTTTTGGATGGTAGCTGAAAATGGAGTCTTACAGGATGGATCAACCAGCTCCAGGACGCTGCAGTAGGATTGCCTGATGGAGAGGAACTTGATGTCTCCAATACACTCCTGTGTCCCCTGAGTGCTATTGTGTGCATTGGTGCTTATTGAGGAGGTGATGCTGGAGGGCAGCATGGCACAGTCACACCATTGTGGTGCTGGTACACTTTGCTGGGGTGAAAGAACATGTCTAGCTCCCCAGATTTTGCCCTCCTGCATTCAGCTTCAGCTTGTAAGCCTGTCATTTGAAACAATACCAGAAGTCTCCTATTCTCTTTAGATAACAGAGGCTATGAAGATGGTGAGTGCATCCCCAGTACTGCCCCCATCTCCTTTCTGATCCTACCCACGTGGCTGCCCACTCCCCCAACTTTCAAAGAGGTGGTTCCTCTCCTTTCAGAACATCATGAAGTTTTGTCAACATTTGCTATAAATAAGAGCAAGGATCTTTGTGCCCAAAAGCGTAATTATTAGGTTCAGCTCACTTAAGCACGTGCTACTGTGGAAGAGTGTCTTCTGGGAAGAGTAACTTTTCCTGTCATTTCTTTTTCAGATCTATGTCATTGACAGTGCAGATAGGAAGAGGTTTGAAGAAACGGGTCAGGTAAGTTACTTATGCCCAGCTTCCTTTGAAGTAACTCAGTGCTCCTGAGTGGCCCTTGCTCACAAAAGTTAGAAAGAGGATTTTGTTGTTTATGAAGGAAATTTGCATTTCAAGGGACTTGCCTTTCAACATCAATGCAGATTATTTTGGTAGATGTGAAACAAGGAAAATAGGTAGCCTAATTCCGTTTAAATAGAACGGTTTTCATTAAAGTTATACAATAATAGCAAATGGAGCCTAATACTGAAAGCAAGAACTTCTCTAAGTCCTTTAAATGTTGCCAAACCAAGACCCTGAGGAATCCTATTTTCTTATTTACAAAATTGAAATGGAAATCATATTGACTTGATTGTCTTTTGGATGTAATTGAAAAAAAGCTAAGAACTTTCTAACTAGGACTGGCCAGAAAATAAGATTTCCGTTTTGCAAAGTTTTGATGTTTTGTAACATTTTATGTTTTAGGATGGAACAACATTAGGACTTTTGAACTTTCTTTTGTAAAATTCAGAAAGTGACAGTGTCCCAAAATAGCTAGCAACAAATTTACCCCCCAAAAAGAGGAGATTTAGATTAAAGCCCTCTATTCTGCCTGATTTGAAGAAGGTACTTGATCTTTTGCCTCTCATGTATCATGGACACACCCCAACAGCAGAACTGTTGGTTGTTCTAGGAGTGGGGGCAATCTTCCCCTGCTGGAGCTATTTCATTTTATATAAGTAATTAAATATTCCTTGGGCAAAAGAGAGGGAGAGGAAGCAGAAGCTTTTAGAGCCCTTGCCCGAGTCAGGTGGAGTCAGCCAGGACCCCTCCTCATATTTCCACAAACACTTTTGGTTTCAATAAATCAACTGTGTCAGATGAAAGACCTATTTTGTTGAAAATTCCCAGCCAGCTCTGTTTATAACTCCATTCTCTCATCCTGGTTTCCAAACCAAACATTGCTTTTGGGGGGATGGAGTCGTATTTCCACTGCAGTTTAGCATCTCCCTGACTGCACTCATTTAATCCAAAAGTTTCTACCCAGTGGATAAAGGATGTTAGGGACAGTATCTGTGAGCATGAGACCTTTCCAGCTAAATAAGGAGCCCATAAAAATCTCATGCACTCATCTGTCTGCAACACCAGCAGTCCCTACAGGTTCAAGTTCTGCTGAGTTTGTCATACGTTCCCATAGGGAAGTGACTTGAGGCTAGGTGCTTGTTTCATGTGAGACCCTTGCACAACCCTAGGCATGAAGTGTTTTAGCCATCACTGATCCACTGCAGATTCAGATTTGGGCTATTCAAAAAATCTCTTTGAGTCACCCGTTTTTGAATGAGCAAACCCATTCTTCAAGATGCCACCCAAAATGTGTGCCATGCATATGGAGCCAAAATCCAGCTAGTAAAGCTGATTTAGTTTGTTTTCACCTAGCCAATGCCTTCAAAAGCATAAACACTTTCTTATGGGAGGGAGATTTCCATTTCGGGGCAAGGGGGGAAAGTCCTCTATTGTTCAAACTGCAGTGTATAAAACTTGGAACAAGCCCCTGAAACTCCTTATTAGCAAAGATATCAGGGCTGGTGTCAACGGTTGCTCAGGTACAAATGCCAGTCAAGCAATAACTTAAGACAGATTCCTCATACTGCCAATTTACATGGTTTTTGCTGTTTCATCAGTTTTGGTCTCCTGGGATCAGGAACTGGTAAAACACAGAGTTGTAGCCTTTAAGGCAACTGCTAATTTCAGACCAAAATGAAGATTTTTCTAACCTGTAATTGGAAGAAATAGCTTTTGAACCTTGGGCAGAGATGATTGTATACATTTTTGGTCTCTTATAATAAGATCTAGGTTTCACTGGAACACACTCTTCTAGCATTTGCCCTAAATATATTTCTAATTAGAGACAACCACTGGTGGTTGAAAGTTTTCTGCCCTTCCCTCTCTCCATCTTCCCCCCACCTCACTCCCTTGTAAATGACACAGGAGTTGGCTGAGCTTTTGGATGAAGAAAAGCTTAGTGGGGTCCCCGTGCTCATATTCGCTAACAAGCAGGATTTGCTGACGGCTGCCCCTGCTTCGGAGATTGCCGAGGGACTGAATCTACACACAATCCGGGACAGAGTCTGGCAGATCCAGTCTTGTTCAGCTCTTTCAGGAGAAGGAGTACAGGTGAGGCTCTGGAGAAGGCTTGCTGTGCCAGCAGGCCATCTGTAAAAGATTGTTGATCTGCAGGGTGGGGCTGGACCAGCTGCCTCACCAAGGAGGGTCAGCACAGCCAAACCCTTGCAGCGCAGAACGCGGGGCGCGTGTGTCTCATTGCCTGTGCAAAGGGAAGGGAGAGCTATGGGCCCTTGGGATGCCTCCATCCCTGGGAAAGGGGAGAGTGATTGCCTCCCCACCCAGGAGCCCTTGGCTGGGCCAGATGAAGACATTGATTTATTTTAAAGAGACTGCTGTCAGGTTAATCATTCTCACAAAACAAATCGTCTTTTACTATTAACCCCTTTGACTGTTACAAGTGTGCACTCTAGAAATCTGATTTACCTTCACTACTGATGTCATTTGGCATTTTGCTCAACCCAGGCGCCAGAGAGAAAAAACTGATCAATTTTTCTGATCCAGAGAAATGCAAGAGTTGCACATGGGGCAAGGGCACTTCTAATGACAACATGTGGGGCAGCAAAAACCCACCAAAGGGCCTGAGCTGTGTCTCTGTGCTGAACTGTAATAGCTGTGTCTTGGGCTCCTGTGCTGTAGCCAGTTCCTGCGGTATAGTAGCTCTTTGTAATGTAAATGGGACCTAGGTTTGTTTATTTCACTCCTAGGCTTTCCTGAATTAATGAAGTATTTGCGGTGCTCTAAATCTGAGTACTCCCTTCACTGATATTTAAAGAAACAGAATGGTGAAGACATTTATCTTCATTGCAGTTTCTGTAAAACCTTATTGCAGATGCTACAGAGATGTTCAGGATAGTGAGATCTCAAGCTGGGTATGAAGAGTGGCAGAAGCAGCCCGCCAGACTGAGTGGGCAGTAAAATGGCAGATGAAATTCAGTGTTGAGAAGTGCAAAATAATACACATGTGGAACAACAATCCCAACTATACACATATGACAGTGGGCTCAAAATTAGCTGCCATTATTCAGAAGCAGATCGTTGTGAACAGCAGCTCGTCAGAGGCCAGAGAGGAAAATCCAAACACTAGACAATTACAGGAAAGCAAACAAGAAGCATCTTTTCTAGCAGGTTAAAGTCATGGTGGACCCATACCTTGAACGTGACATTAATTTTTGCCTCTGCCCCATTTAAAAAGATTTTAGTAGTAGTAGAATCATAGAGTCCAACAAAAAATTAGAGTCTTCAGGAGATCGTTATACCAACTTCATGTTTAAAGCAGGGATAACAGTGAGTCTAGAGGAGATTGCTGAGAGCCTTGTCCAATCAACTTTTAAATATCTCCAAGCATGGAGATTCCACATCCTCTCTAGGTAACCTCTTCTAGCACTTAACTACCCTAATCTGAAAAAATATTGTCCGTATATCTTCTCAGAATTAGGAGAGATTTGAGAATCCTCTGTTGAGAATGATCAGTAGCACAGAATGCCATCTGTATACAAGGATAATAAATAAATTAGGACTTGCAGCTTGGAAGAGAGAGGACAGACAATGGGAACATCTTCAGGATTTATAAAATAAGGTATAAAAATGTCAGACCGTATGCTGTTTTTCACATTGCTAGAGGGAGGGTGTTCCTAATGAAATAATCAGACAGCAGCTTAAAAGAAGTAAAAATAAGTGCTTCTTTGCGAGTTGCATAATTAAATCGTAGATCTCACTGGCAAAGGATGTTGTGGAGACCAAATGTACCAGTCTTAAGAAAAATACTAAGTGAATTTCTGAAGAAGGGATCTGCAGGCAATCACCACTAAGATCTGGAGGCAGCTTTTGACTGAGGAGCAGCTTGGGCCATGGACTGGGAAGGAAGAACAGCAAGAGAGATCCTGTTCCTACATGGTCTTTCTCCCTGGCATCCAGAAGGAAAGCTGGATGAACCACTGGTCTGACCCAGTACAGCAGTTCTTCTAATTTCAAATTCTCAAGCTGATGTTTAGACCTAAATGTTGTAGATGGTATCCTCCAAAGGGCCTTTATTTACTTAGCTAAGATACAAATTCAGCTATGTTCCAGCCAGTCTAGTGAAGGGCTTCAGCTGTAATCTTTATTCTGAAGTGGTGGTGGTAGAGGGAAACGCATTCCACACTGGCAGTGTATATTCCAGTCCAAAGAAATGTGATCAGGAAAGTTGACAGGGTTTCAGGCAAGCATAGGTCACCTTCTTCCCTCCTCCAGGCCCTCCTTTGGTTTATGGACATCCGGCTGTAAAGGAGCAGTAAAGTAGCAGGTGAAATTCAGAGATGGGGGTTGGATGTGGAAGAACTAAATAATAGGAAGTGGCACTTTCTGTTTGTGGGCTTTGAAATATACCTCCTTCTTGAGCTGATCTGTGTGCTCTGGAGTGGACTGCACCCTTCTTTATTGACAGCACCTTCTTCCTGTGCCTCCTCCCTGAAGTACAGCACATCCCTATACATTCAGTAGTGTAAAATACACAGCCCAATACCCTCTAGCAGGGAAATGAAATCTGCTCCTGCACTCACTTCCAAAAAACAGAAGACCAGAGCTAAATAAAAGTGTTTACAGGCCAATATATTGTGTTCATCATGCTTATCTAGACAGTTTAGGTGCAGGCCAGATAATGTCCCTCTTGGTTGTAGGCAGTCTTGTTTCCCTAAATACTGCAGCTTATTCCATGAATGATTATTGCAGAAAGGTCAGGGACATCACAAACTCTCTGTAGCTTGTAGGAAAAGAGCCTCTACATTTCTCTTCAGGCATAACTGCAGGCTTGTCAAATCCAAGCACTCCCTTTCCTTGCAAATTGAACAAAATGGTTTGGGAGACGGCTTTTAAACTAACCTGGATCAACCTAGAAAGAAATGGTGTCTTCAGTCCTGGGACCCTTAAGGAGGGGCCAACATGCTGAAAATTTAGGAGAACCAAAGAACTTGTTTAAAGAGTGACATCAAGAATGATGTTTTTGAGGATCCTAGTGCACAGTATCTCTACCAGTGGCTCAGAACATGAGCTCTGTATGTGTAATTGAACCTCAGGTCACTGCTTTAAGAACTTCTTTGAGAAATGACGGTGAGTGACAGCAAAGTAAGTGAAGATGTGGAAGCATCAGGTATTCAGAATGAAAGCCAGGGGGCGGGTACACTAACCATCGCTGCTGATGGAATGTATTAGCTAGAGCAGAGCTGGAGACATCGCTGAAGAGTGGTGGCATATCTTGTGCTGAGCACATGCAAGAACAGAGTTCATAGGGGAAGATGTTTGTGATAGCTTGAAGGAAGAGCAGTGAGCAAAGATAAATAATGCCAATACATGAAGGAGAAATAGTTTGAAGGTCATTTAATTAGTTTAGCTGCTTGCACCATGGTGTATAGAACTGGGTAGTTAAGACTGGGGATTTCAAGGTTAATGAGATTAGATTATGGTTAATAGAATGATATAAATTTAGAGAATTTAACTAGTATTTGAAATGGGTTATTTAATAAAACTATTAATTAAGGGGGAATCCATATAGTCATCTTCTCTTTTAAAATTAACCACTGGGGACTCTGGAAAAGGGGCCCAGCAGTGTCCTGAGCAGGCTCAGAAGAGAGGTGACTGGGTTAACTGGAAACCCCATGCGGCGTCTCAGGATGCCAGCTGGCAGCCCCTATTATGCCAGCTGAAGACTTCATTACCTTCTGACTGTAACCGTGGGCAGCGCTTGTGTTAATCAGACTTCATGGTGCCATTGAGGGAGGAGTGGCATCACTCACACTCAGAGGCTTTTTCAGGCAAACTGTCTGCTTGGGTCTGATCTTATCCTTCAGCTCTAGTTCGGAAAGCAGGAAAGCTTTTTCTCCCTGCCACAGCCATCTGGGCTGTGCCTCTGGAGTAGAGTCCTGAACAGCCTACACCGAGCCCCTTGCACAGGATTCAGCAAGCGAGGGAGGTGATTGCTGATGTCAGCAGAGGAACACAAGGGAACTGTTGCCTCATAACAGCTCTCTGGTGCCACGTAGGCTCTCTTGGGGTTGTATTGTGACCAGATCTCCAGCTGTAGCCCTTGGTGTGCAAAAGCTATATACATCTCACCCTGGCTGGCTATGGTGGGGTGAAAGCAGGCAGGACTCCTCTGCTTTGCAGCCTGCCCTCTTGCTGGAGGTGTTATTTAGGGGCCAGGGTGTGATATTAAATATGCCTCAAGGCTTTGGACCAATCTGTGCTCTGCAGCCTGTTTCTTGTCTGAAGCAAGAGCCTCCGATCAAGGCAGCAGGAGTTCAGCCTGCCCTGAGGAACTGTCCTCCAGAACGATGCTGGAGCGCATTGTGTCCCAAGTCTCCCAAACATAATGGCTCTCTGGAGACCATTAAAAGCCACTGAAACTGAGAGTAGCCACTAAACTTCTCTAATTTATGCCAGAGCCTGTCTGGCCCAAAGGACTGTGGGAAGGGCTGAGCCTCCATCTCCTCCCTGGCTGTTACAACCCAGTTGAGAGTGAAGCCCAAGACCCAAGTTATGTCTTTGCTGCGATTCAGCACTTTCATAAGGACTGAACCAGAAAAGGACCCCCTTGGCAATATGGTATCTGCAAAGCTTAAGCTTTGTCTTAAAGATGTCTTAGCCAGGGCAGGCTGAATGGGATCTTCTACATCTTAACAAGGTTCTGGAGCTACTTGTAAATGTGATTTAAAACCAGTTTTGATGACTGCAGCTCTCCTGAGGCAGGCAGAGCATGTTAAGGAAAAGCAACCCTGTTTCCAGATTACGGGGCAGTGTCTTCTGATTTTTAAGCAGGGTAAGGAAGGAGTCTACAGTGCTGCATCAGGGATACGAGGCCTCAGAGGACAAAAAAAATAAGCTTTCGCCCAGGCAAAAACCAATGGATAATGTACTGGCGGGATCCTGTAAAAGCCAGCCTGTATGATGACTCGAGGTGCAAGGAAATGACAGATAATGAAGGCACAGTCCTGCCTGTGCTGAGGGAGAAGAAAGTGACGGTTAAAATAACGCATACCAAAAATGCTAGAGATGGAGAATTTTGCACTTGCCTGACCCAATTTGTTATGGCAGACAGAGGATTACATGAAAGGATTAAGCTTTGCTGTCCTTAAGGTCACATTAGGGGTCACAAGTTTGTGGCCTTGCCTGATCCCTGGCTTGCAGGGGAGCAGAAATCGGGAGGCTTTTTATGGGGTGGAAAGGACTTGTTCGCTGTGTTTGAAGTCAGATTACTTCACTCCCATAGCCACAAAGCTGATAATGCAGAGAATAAGCAAGCAGTGGGCTAATCTTAAGCAGGACTTTTTATTTCTCCCAGGGAAGGCTCTACCAGTACTTTCCCAAAGGGCGTTGGAGTACAACTCCCTTGGCACAATAGCAGATGGGACTGCAGCAAGGCGGGGTTGTGCTGAGCAGCATTTCTCTGCAAGGAGCATTATGCTCTTCCCTGGGGTTCTTTCTCTTTGCTTTGGTAAAGTTTACTAGCTGCTTGTTAAGGAGCTAAGAGAGGCAAAGCTAAAAGATCTGAAATCTTTTCCTGGCTAAGTTTTCCCAGGGTTGACTTGAGGCTGGAATACTAATATTGTATCCGCCTCGATCCTCAGAGTACCTGCCAATGACTCTGTGTCTCAACAAAGCAGCGCAAGGACATCTATCAAGATCTAAATGTTACTGTAGGGATTGTACTTTCTTCACAGAGCCATCTTTTAAGCATGCAGATGTAGGGACAGAGTGTGTAGGGACAAAGGATGACAACAGTTGACTCCTTATGGACTAGACTCTTTCAAGCACTGTTTCCTCCTTCCCGTGTGCCTTTCCCATAGCAGCTCTTTGTGTTTGTAGCAGCTTCCCCGGTTTTCTCTATCTTACCAGCATTTCATCCTGCTTCAGACCTTCGGTAGAAAAACTGCAAACATACCTTTTAGTTTCTTTTGCTTTTCATTGCATTTGCTATTCTCCAAAGCATTTGGGGACACTGCAGAACACTCCCCCCCCCAAAAAAAAGTTGCACCAGGAGCTGTGGATGTAGCTGAGGAAGGCGTCTCACACGTACCTCTTTGATACAGCTGAGCCTGTTAATTTTCCCTTTATCACAGGCAAGCAGAGAGATACTTACGTTAACTCACGCCAGAAGAGGGTTTTTAAAATCTATTCCTGCTTTAAAAGTTTGGTGACCTACTTACGTATTTCAAGCCTGTTTGGAGTTCACCTTTCCTCTTGCATTTTGCTATGTCATTCTTTTGCCCTCGTTAAATGCTTCATGCAGCCAGGCTCCCAGCCATGGTAAATCCCATCATAAACTCTGCTTTATGACCCTCGCTGCGCTGGTGCTGAAACGGTCTGTCTTTCCCCTTCCCGAGCTCCCCAATGGCAGCAGGCAGAGTTTTAATCACTGTGAATTCAGGTTGTGGTCAGATTAGGTAGAAGATAGGATGCGTGTTTGTTGTTTTGCAGTGATGTATTGTTTCTGAGATTACTGTGCTGAATAGCAGAGGGTGTCAGCTGATATTTATTACTTTAAGCTGTCTCAGCTGTTCTGGTTCAGCAAATAAACCTACATTCAAAATGAATGAGGAGCTCTGCCTGCCTTGTATGCCATGATGTGTGCAAATGTGATTATTGCTTCCGAGGCAGGGGAAGCTGAAATCATTGTGGGAGCATTTTTATTTATTTATTTAGTTTTACTCTTTGCAGGCAATCATGCAGATTTCTAAAGCACACAATCAAGTCAAAGGCTTGACACCTCTCCTCCTAGCCCCATTGTTAAGCCCTGGCATTCCTCATGCTGGGAATCACTCCCTCCCTCTCTCTAAAGTGATAAGCTTTAAACCACACTATTGATTGCTTAAGGCATTACATGTTTTACACCTAGGTTATCAGTGTTATTGAAAGGGGAAGACACAAAGCTACTGGGCCTTAAAATGAATCTACCGCTCATCTTTTCCCATTTGCTCTGAGGATTTCAGACAATTTGTTTTACACTGATCTCTGCTGTGGAGATAAATAAATGAAACTGGAGACCTCAACCCTCCCCAAGGTTAGAGTTAGAAGTGTTATTAGTGTAGGGCCTCATGTGCACCCCAGCACAGGCTGGGCTCACTTATTCTTTATTTAACACAGCAACAAGGGCTGATTTCAAAAGTTGCTGCTCCCCTTCAGATAAGAAGTGTCACATAGCACAGTTATCAAGGTGAATTGGTATTTTCAAGTGAGAACCTCTCTGCTTCTGATTAAGCCCTGAGGACTCCCTCTCTTCTCTCTTAACTCTTTAGCTCCCCTCCAACATGGTCACCACCTTTGTGGCTGAGGGACAACACAGAGGCACAGCAGTGGGTCTCGGCTCACCCGAAGGGCCTGCCTTGCTGTGCCTTTGACCGCCTGTCCTCGGGGAAGTTGAGGTCCTTGGCAGCCTTTTGGCAGTTTGGGGACAAGGGTGCAGGAAGCCAGCAACACTGCTACCATGGGGCTGTTGGCCTGAAGGCTCTGATCTTTCTTAGGGTCTAATTATTGTTTTAACGATCCAGAAATGACCACTGAACATAATACAGTGAAATCCCCTGCTCTGAACTCTTAAGGTGACATTTGTCCAATTTCCAAATGCAAATATGTGCTGCTCCCTCTCATCCCCAAACCCCTACCTGCCACCTTTTTGATCTCAGCCTCCCTGTCAGCAGAGATACCTCCTAGGCAGGACAGAGGTAACAGATTCGATGGGACACAAATATGAGGAGACTGTGCATCTTGCGCTCCATTGTGCGCATCTCCTAACAGATAAATGACAGGAGCAGATGAAGTATTGCTGTGGCTTTCAATAGCATATCCCGTTCTGGGATCTCAGCAATAAACTCACAAATTGGGTATTCATGGTACAAGTGTTGCAATCCTGCTTGCAGTGGCCAGAAAAGTCACCCACACATTTTTACAGACATACCTTAAAGAATGTATCAGCCTCTTGAAACATCATCACATTGTTTCTCACTGAATCCTTGTGGGACCCCTGAGGGCCCATATTTTGTGGGGGCCCTGAGGAACAAGGAGAAGGGTCCAGATCTGGGTATTGCAGTGACTTTCATGGATCTGGATTTCAAGGCTTGCAGATGAGCAGAGAATTAGAGCCGTATTCTTAACTGGGAGCTGACTGTATAACAAACAGTCCCCTGAAATCCACAGTCTCAAGATTACTTGCCCAAGATTACACAAATCATCTGTAGCCGAACCTGGAACTGAGTCTTCATCTGCCACTGACATACCTTGACTGCAAAGGGATCCTTCCTCGAAGGACCTATACATAGCGATGTCATGAGACGATGATACTTTTTATGGTCAGGTGAAAGATTTAATGACCTCTGTGTGACAACATCTACTGAGCAAGGAAGCTCTTATTTTTTTAACCCACAGTGGTTTTGGGCACAGAGGGACAGGCAGGGGTTCTGTGAGGAGTCAGAATGTGGTGCTTGCAGATTGGTGGTTGGGTGGGATTGGGGGATTCCTTTTCCCTTCGCTTGACTAACATTACCTTTCTCTGTCTGAAGGACGGCATGAATTGGGTGTGCAAAAATGTCAGTGCTAAGAAGAAGTAAAGCGATCTGAGCTGCATGGAAATGGAGGAGCGGTGGGAGCAGAATTCTAGCCTGAAAACACTAATTTGCTGCTTTCTGACCAAATGTTTTTCCATCTGTGCACAGCTACAGCTGTTAAAATTAAAAAAAAAAGAGAGAGAGAAAAAAAGGGAACAACATCGGTTTAAGCCTACTGCTGGATTTGGAACTTGACCTGCTCTTTAGTATCATTTTTTTATCCCAATAAAGGAATTACATATTTCCTCCCTATGCATAAATAGTATTAAATGTCTGATTAGCAAGCAAGTTTGTAAGCAGAAGCAAGACTGTGATTCAGTGTGGAGCAGAGGGAGTGGTGAATTACTGTAGTTGCTTAGATG